TTGCTCGCTTGGGATTGAACTTGTATCAGCGAGTAGCGTCCAAGAGCACCCACTAACGCTAAATAGCGCCAGATAGCGCCCAGTAGCGCTGGATAGCAATCACATAGCGACCAAACACGAACAACACCGTCCAATCGCATCATGTAAGGGAGACGCAGTATGCCTGCTTTGCCTGCGATTGGGCGCGCTGGTGGGCGCCACGGGGACGATCCTAAACTTCCGTGACCTGCTTTCTAAGGTAGCCGCACGCCTGCAGGCAGGCCTCTCGGAGACCTCTCTGTGGCATCTTTGGGCATCTGTTTGGCCTTCCGAGGGTCTTGGGGGCTGGCTGGCGGTCTCGGGAGTCATCTTGGGCCGGAGGGTTCGAAATAGCTGTTCGACATGTTGGGCCCCAATTCGTGGCCTCTTTGGACTTCCTGAAGTCCCCTAGGCCGTTTATGCGGGCCTTTTGGTGGCCTGTTGGGTCTTGGGGCTACCATGGGTGCCTGTCGGGCCGTCTTGGAGCGTCGGAAGCCCGAGCGAGAATGCACACATCTATGAAACATTGATGGGAGAATGCTTCATGTGCGCCTTTGGGAGCCCTCTTGGGGCCTCGTGGATTCCTCTTGGGACCTCCCAGGTCGTCTTGAAGCCATCTTGGGCTTCTCAGAACGCTATTGGGCCGTCTCGGGGTCCTCTTAGACCGTCTTGCGACCCTCTTTGGGCCCTCTTGGTCTGTTTCGGAGCCCTCTTGCATTAGGACAAGCCGCTCGAGAACGCGCGGGAGGCCCGGTAGCTCCAAGATAGCTCTGTGGTAACAGGGCGGGCCCACGAGGGCCGTCTCGGGAGGAGCCCGCCGCGTCCCAGAGCAGGCCTCGGCCGTGCACCGTGGGTGCGGCTGACCAGACGGGGAGCCCGCTCGGGAGCCGCTGGTGGAGGCCAGGATCGCCCTTCAGGGCGAGAGGACCTGAGGGCAGGCGAGGGGCGCTCGCGCCATGTCTGACATCCCGCACCTCCCAACAGCTAGGACACAGCTACTGGAAGGTTCGTTTCTGCACCGGCACTGGCGGATCCTTGGTCGACCACTGGCCTGATCTCCTCCAGAGCCCGCCCGATACGGTTTCACCCCGCTGAGTCCGGCTGAATCTCGCCTGCTCCGGCGTATTCCCGGGCCCACTCCGTGCAATGGCCATGTCGGGCCGGACGAAAGGGGAGGATTGGGAAAGGGGGGTTACGAAATCTGCTGCATGCAGCTGGTTTCGGCCCCACCGAGGGGCCCATTCCTCGATACATGGGGCGCCTCCGGCGCCGGGAGGCGCCGGGAAAATCAGCTACGTGAGCTGATTCTCACCCCCCCCTTTGCTATCCCCCCCTTTCGCCCGACCCGACCTTGGCGCATCGGGCCTGATTGCCTTCAGCTGTTTCCTGCCAGTCCTCCCCGGAGTGGCCTTCTGTCAAGAGAGGAAAAAACACACAGACACAATTAATCCTCGATTCCCCAGAAAATATGGGAAAATATGGGAATTGGGGGGAAGACAAAAACCCAGAAAATATAGGAAAAATATAGGGAATATTTTTATTTGTGTGTATTTATTTGTGTGTCCTGGGGCCCCTTCATTCTGCCCCGGCCCTTCCCATGGCGCCGAGGTTCTCCGTCCGCCGACGGGTGTCCCAGCGGGGCGAGGGGCTCCCGAGGGAGAGGTGTCCGCAGGTCGTTAGCGGTCTTGGGGGGGTCTCACGAGGGGCCTGCGGGTTGCGAGCGAGGGGCTCGGGAGGACGAGCCGGTCCCAGGGGAAGCCCCCCCTGGGAGTGCAGGGCGCGTGTCGGGCGGGTGCTGCTGGGGGGGCGACCTGCTCGAGGTTTCCAGAACAGGCCCTTGGAGGGCCCCTCTGGGTCCAGCGCCGATCCGAGAAATCCTCGCGGACCTTCGAGTTGTCATGTTGATGTCATTCTTCGTCCCCCTGAGTTAGATCACCACCATTACCCCCCGCCCGGCCGTGACCCTCAGTGCGGGCAATACTTATATCCATATCTAGAGCGTCTTTGTCTTTTTGAGAAGGGGTGCAGCAATGCCGAGGCGCACTGGATATGGATAGACATCGAGCCTTTGGAGGCCAGATTTCTATCCATATCCAGTGCTCCTCCGATTTCTGAGGAGGAGACCCAAATGATTTCAGTATTGCCCGCACTCAGGCACCCCCCCGTGCCCTCCTGCCTGCATGGGAGTCTCAAGGCACGATCACGGGAAGGTCCAGGCAGTTGCGGCTCTTGAGTTTGCCGCCTATATTTTTGTTGAGGTCGGCCGCCTATACTTTTAAGGCGGGTGTGTCCCTCTACAGAAGGAATATTCCAAACTTGTCACAAAAAAAAACGTCGGAGGACGATTTCTGGTTTATGTTTTTGTTACTCTTTTGGTAGGGTGGGGGTGGGGGTATTTTTTGGGTATGTGTTTGATTTGTCGTCCAAAATCCGCCTGTAGGGGGACATGCCACACCTAACAGCACTTCCAGATAAGCCCGCCATGGTTCTTAAAATCCTATGTGCGTTGTTCGTGCCATGCTTTGCTCGCCCGCCAACGGTCACCCTGAGGAATGGTGTTGAGATGCCTCTGCTATCTGCTGGCGTGTATCAGTATAATTCCTCTGAGGCGCATGCTTCGATTGCATCGGCGATCAAAGTCGGCTTCACCGCACTCGACACAGCACTGGATTATTGGAATCAGGATGGCGTCGGTGCGGCGCTCAAGGAGGCGTTCGCGGCTGGTCTGAGGCGCGATCAGATATTCGTCGAGACCAAGGTCCCTGGTTGTGCCAACCCTGCCGAGAATACAACCCGCAATCCGCTTACATGCTACAGTGATACGCAGAAGAACCTGGAGAGGGACTTGGAGTCCCTCGGCTTACCCTACGTCGACCTTGTGATCATCCACTTTCCACCTTTCCCAAGCTTCGCTGTGCGCTCCTGCAACGAAATCACTGGCAGTTGCGGTATGGCTCGCGCCCAGTGGAAGGCAATGGTGGAATTCTACAAGGCTGGCAAGGCCAAGGCAATCGGAGTGTCTAACTACTGCCCCAGCTGCTTCAATTGCTTGAAGGATACTGACGTGTTCCCGATGGTCAACCAGGTGATGATGCATGCTGGTATGGGCGTTGACCCTGGAAACATCGTCAGCTATGGCAAGAGCAAAGGTGTCGTTACACAGGCGTACAGCGCGCTGGGCAACACGCCGTGGACGCACCACGCGGAGCCAGAAATCCTCACGGGCAATTTGACGACTGCGATTGCGAAGGCTCACAATGTTTCAACGGTTCAGGTAGCCTTGAAATTCCTCGTTGAGGCAGGAATTCCAGCAGTCACAAAGTCGAGCAACTCCGCGCATTTGGCTTCTGATTTAGACCTCTGGTCGTGGAACCTCACCACGGAGGAGACGCAACAGATGAACGAATTCCGGATCAACAAGGTTTTCGACAAGTATTCTTTCGCGTGCAGCTCCATCGCAGATACCGTCGTTGTCTGAGCGATGGCGATCATTGTTGAGCGTTGCTTTTTGGGGAGGCGTGAGAGCGGGCACGCAGCAGCCATGTTGTCATGTGCTCGTTGTTGCTGCACTCACGTTTCGAAGTGTTCATCGCCACTATCGCCATGTACAGTCATCACCAGGAGCATCACAGACCCATCGCACACCATTCAGAATGCTATCGTAAACGCATCGCACGGCAGGCCACCGAGGGGTGGCCCCGCGCGAGCGAGAGTCGATTGATGTGGAACGCGTGAAAACAAAAACGGAAGCAATTTGGAGCACCGACAGTTCCAGGGCCATCCAATATCGTCAGGGACGCTCTGGAGAGACATCCACAAGTCTCTAACAATTCAGGGAAGTCCAGGGGGTAATCGAGAGTGATTTGCGACATTCTAAGTCGTCCTGAATGCATAAACATGGCAAGCTGCCAGAACATTGTGAAGAGCTCCCATACATTAATTTGTAGTGGCGTTAGGACAGGATTTGCCAATTCCAGTGCCATGGAGATTCCTCCACTGCCTTCTTGAAGGCCCCCCAAACCGCACCAGTGGGATTGACGAGCCTTCGAGATCCTCGAGGGTGCCCACATACATGCGTGAACATTTGGTACCCATCGGGCACACCCCAAAAGGAATGTTAATAATCTTCGAACCCCCACATGGAAAGCTGCACGCAGTCTCAGATCTTCAAACGGCCGCATCGATTCAGCAGCTCGAGAGGCTGCTGCATCAGCGTGGCCACAAGACTGGCTGCCGCAACAATGGACCCACAGCCACGACGTCCCAACCCTCGACACCAGCGTCCGTGAGGTCAGCACCATGTCGCGCCTGCTGGTAGGCGTTGCCGCATGCCCCTGCCCAGGAGTCTTCGCAGCCTCGTCGTCGTTCTCCTTCCCGCATGCGGGATCAGCGCCAGGCCTCTCCCTCCAGGAGTCTTTGCCACATACTGCTGAGTGCGCAGCCCCGTCGTCGGCGTTATTCACAGCATCGTCCTCTTTTTCCTCTTCCTTGCAGAACCTGACGCGGATGAGGCCCGGGAGTTGGTGTTACGAGTCGGGTGGGGACGACATGGATATTGCGCTTGCCTCCTCCTCTTCCCCACTCCATCTTGCCAGGCCGCAGGTGAGGGAGTGCGAATTACAGAGGCGGGGGGCGCGGGCGGGCGCCGATCCGTCTACGGGGCGGGCGCCAGTACGTTTACAGCGGAAGCCCATACTAAGAAACACCCTGCTTGCCTCCAGGGTGCCCTGGGTTACCTGGGTTTCGATGGTTTTGCGACGGAAAGCGTGGCGTTCCCACACCGACAATCAGGGGACGACCTGGGGTCTCAAGGTTGGGTTTCGCGTGGAAAGTTTCTTGTGGACTGGCCTCCACTGTACAAGGTATTTCTGTACCGTTCTTACCGACCACGTATCCGGCCCGCTGATTAGTTCCCTGCCCGAGTTCGGGGCCATGCCAAGTTTTCGGCGCCATTATTTTGAATCCCAGTTTGGATCGCACGAGTCTCCTCTCCCCTCTTTCCTGATCCAGCTCGCCTCCCTCGCTGCCAGCCTGAATCCTGGACCCGCGTTTCGGTCACGTTCCCAGGACAGCGCTGCCACCTTGCCGTTGGCATGCGCGTGTAGCGTTTCATAACTTGTTGACGCCACGGTTGTTGAGGCTTGTTGGGTGGATTCTCGTTTTTCGCTCCCACCATCTCCCTTCAACATGACATGGGAAGAGGCGGGCTCCGAGGCCTGGGGGCGGAGCTCTACGTGAAGAGGGCCAGCCTTCCGAAGGATCACGTGGGGTCCATGAAGATGGAGGTCAGCTTTCAGTGCCCGGGAGCTCCCTCCCGCCATCCGTGTGCATTCGGAAGTGGGGGGCAATAAAAGGGGGGATCAAGGATTGCAGTAGAGTGGCCCTAACGTGCCATTACACGGCTCCTGAATTGCAGCCGCGGGCTCAGAAGGTGTTGGAAAGGCGCACGTTCCGACACTCCCTTTATGCCCCCCCGCTAACGACCGCCCGACATCATGCCTCTCCCTGTGTCGCCCCTTCCTGCCCGCGTCCTCTTCTTCTCCAAAGCTTGAAGCCTTGTCGGGTTGGGGGCCTCACTGGTGCACCACCATTCTTGCACACATGCCTCACCACTGCTCCCACCCAAACTCCCTCTGTGTTCGCTTGCCCACAGCCTCTTTTTAAAGGTCACCGCCCTTTCTCTCTTACTCACACGGTTCCCGCACAGCCTTCCACTTGTCACAGGAGTTCACAGGTTTCCGAACGTCCCATCGCCTCTTGGCCTTGCCTCTTGCATGCCACTGTTCGCAAGCAGCGCGTGCACCCAACTGCGCAAGTCGACGACGGTCGTTGATTTTAGACGCCTTGGGGGTCCATTTGCCGTCGGCCAATCTACCCGCGCCGATCGTCCTCGCGTAATGGCTCCACCGTCTGAGTGAGCAACCGCGTTCCACGTCTCAATGCTGCGACCTGGGAAGGGCCAGTGGATTTCCCTTACCCGTGTTCTGCCACTGTCCATGGTGCAGTTTGCAGTGAAGTCGGCCACTGCGTTAGGCTTTCGGTCACGCCAGGCAGCGTAATTGCGCCACGGGTCAGGCGGCGACCACCCGGCATCCAGTGCACAATGCCGTTAGTGCGTGCTCCACGAGGCAGAGGCTCAAGCGAGTCACCTGCCAGGCGACAGAAGCCCATCGACACCCGCTGCAACAGTTGACAGTCGACCACGGGCGTGAAATCCATCCTTACCTTCCCTGCCTGCCCCCATCTTCCAACCTGATCCCTTCCTGAATGATTCCATCTCCACCGCTCCCCTCCTCCCCGCCACCCCCCCCACACACACTCACACATTCCACTCTCCGCCCTGCCGTCTCCCCATACACCTGCAGACTGTGAACAGTGCGGGCTTCCCTCGCTCTCATGACCATGTCCAGCGGTGCCACAGACTTTTTTACCACGCATCGTTCGCCCACGCCCACGCACGACTTCACACGCTGGTCATTCATACGCACTTCGCCGATAGGATATATGTCAGGATCTGTGTTTCGCTCTCGTCGTGTTCCTCGTCACCTCCGCCCCCAATATTTCCCCTCTCCTCCGCCCTTCGCTAATCGTCCTGCTGATCCTGCTACTGACCCTGCTCCCCCTCCATCCTGATCCTCATCACCCTCCTCCGCGTCCTGCTCATCCGCCGCACCGTGTAGGTGCTGGGGCGGGGGGGTGAGGTGTGTGCCTGCCTCCTTTCTGCTCTGGGTCCAACTGCCCCTCGGCTTCCGCTCGCTCGCTTATCCGCCGCACCCTTGTTCACCAAACAGTGTTTTCACTTAGGATGTCTTACTTCTGTTTCATGGAACTGGCCCTCACGGTTAGTCCGATGGCTTTGTGACCGCCGTCGCCGCCCCGTCGCCGCATCGTCGCCGCCCGTCGTTTGAGCTTGACTTGGGGCCGCCGTCGCCGCCGCGTCGCCGCCTCGCCGCCGCCCGTCGTTTGTGCCTGGCGTTCTGTCTGGTGGCTATGTTGTCGCCCCGTATATTGCACCACGGAGGTTGCCTCGTCGCCGCCGTATATTGCACCCGTATATTGGCGGCTATGTCGTCGCCTCGTCGCCGCCGTATATTGCACCACGTAGGTTGCCTTGCATTGCCTGGCATGGCTTTGCATTGTTTGGCATTGGTTTGCGCTGCGTTGTCTTGCGCTGCAGTGAAATTCCCAACGTAAGGTTCGACAGGGTGAACTTCACCACATCGATTGCACCGCGTAGAGTTCACAGCATAGAATGCACCACAGAGTCTGCATACTTGATTCATGCAGTACACATATTGTTAAAACCATGTGTTCCTTTCTAACGGGGTACTAGGATCAGCCCACTTCCCGAACTGGCATGAACAGTTCCCTCTCTCGTGTTCTCTCGATCGCATTTGCAATGTACATACAAGATTGCCCCCATCGTCCATCCCAAATATGCACCCATACCACCCCAGGCAGGCTGGGATCGCCTCCCCCCCTTCATTTCCTGTAACAACTGCTATGCGCCGACGCTCGTTTATCAAGCATCATCAGTTGCCAACAATCCCTTGCAAACAAAGGGGGCGAAGTGCGCACGCGTGCGTCGTCGCGCGAAACCGTTCACAAACCCAAGGTTTGGCTAGGAATCCAAAACCGAGTCCCCCGAAAAGACACAGAAGCACATGTTTTGCAGCAAGAATTCGCAAACACAGAAAGCTTGTGTTCGGGCCTCCGCGAATTCTGAGCACAAGTATGTGTTGTTGTCTTCAACATATAAATGACTTGCTTCCACCCGGGCCTTTCGCGCGCGAATGTCGAAATTGTTCGATCGCCTTTGCACGCGTGTTGTCATAAGAATCCCTTTCCTCCTCCCAAGAAAAAAAACACACAAACAAAAACGGGACGGAGTGCACGCGCGCGCGTCGTCGCGCGCGCATGCCGAAATTCCTCCAGCACGTTTACGTGTCACAGGGGTTTCAACATCGAGCGCCCCGAAAACACACATAGAACAACACATGTATTGCAACAGCAGTTCTCAAAAAGTGCCTGCGCTCGCGCGCCATGCGAATGTTTCAGACGCCATGTGCTGCTCAGCATGTGTATTGGAGTCGGCCAGCCGGGCCCCCATCGCCGCGCGTCCAAGTCATTCGAACGCCCCCTGGGAGCGCGTGCGGGAGGGCACGATCCGTGTCAAATAATACCATGCGGGCCAGTCTGCGCGTCGGCCGCGCGCGACCGTCGGACTCCCCATAGCGCCTTCATCACCGACGCGGGGACGCTGTCATCGTCGTCAGCGTGATCAGCATCGGCGCCGTCACTGGCCTTGCCGTCGTCGTTGCCACCATCGCTACCAGCATCGCACATCATCATCGCGTCTACCGTTGTCGATGTTGGCATGGTTCCGCTCCCGCCCATGTCGCCGACGTGCACTGACGTGCCCGCTTGGAAGTACCCAGCAGTCAGTGCCACCGCGGCCGCGACGGCCGCGCCAAACTAGACGGCCGCTGCGCGCGCGAGCATGCGCGGGGGAGCGCGGCCGCAGAGATGCCCCAGTCAAAGCCAAGCATCCATCACAATGGAATTACCGCCGCATGCGTTTTGCAAACCAAGTTGCGGGTGGGTGGATGGGATGGTTGCGCGAGCAGTGGGGTGTACAACACACTGCAATTAGTCGCACCACTTAGATGGCACATCATATATTGCAGCGTGCAGATTGCACAGCATACCTTGCGCAACACAAGTTGCACGCCATAGGTAGCCAAGAAATGCAACGTTTGTGGCCCACGATGGCGAACGTAGCCAAAGTCCAAACGTACCACTTGGACAAATACCAGAAGTACCACTTTGGCATCAATGTCTTCCAGCACCACCAGTGAGCAAATATAACCAGATCTGGCGCAATGGGACGGGATAGATGGGATAGGTCGGGTGCCAGATGCGGCACGATTTTGTCGAGCTTGTCTCTCTTCCCTGCCAATTTTCCGCCGCCTTTCCTTCTCACCCACTTTTTTCTCTGTACCTAATATCAGCATTGCAGTTCTATGCCATGGGCTTTTCTTTTTGTTGTGAAATAAACGTTTTAAATACTGGGCCGTTAAGGACAAACGCGGCGTTGTTGTTGCGCTTCAGCTTTGCTTTTTGTAATGGAGACCGTCGTTGTGTTCGATTGGTTGTTTGTTGCGTTGTTTTTGTTTTCTGGTCGAAGGCTGTTCCTTGCCTGCTCTGCCGTCTTCACTCCAATGTTTGTGTTCCGATCTTCCTCGCAGAATTGCACATGCCAAACATACGCTTTATCACCGGTCTAACCCAGAGGCCCCATGCCCCAAGAGGGGCAATCGGCCATCGGGCCCGGAGGCCCGACGCCCCAGGAGGACTTCTGAGGACGGCGAGCAGTCGGATTGAGAGGGGCACGCCAGGAGAAGACATTGAGGACGTCGTATACGGAGCGTCCTCAAGGTGTTTCTATGTTGCATACTTGCTTGAACCTTTGTGCCTCGTAGCAAGGATAGGTTGGAGAGTAGGGGACACGCAGGTACAATTACTGTCACTACTGCACGCGCATCGCGCAGTATTCCGAGACTGAGCCGAAAGACCTTGCGCAGCCGTGGTCTGCCGAGCGTGCCACGTGGCAGCCTGGCAAGATGGCCAAAGAGCGGGCGAAACAACATCGCCCGCGCGCGAAGCGAGACGAGTTGCTTAGAGAGTGCTCGCAGTTCCCGGACGGTCTGCTGGACGAGCGCCAGGGGGAGTCGTTGTCTGTGGCGGGGTTCCATGTCAGATGCCTGAAGTTGGCGCTACAGATCGCGGGCGGATAAAAAAGAGTGTCGCGGTGCTGCTGCTCTTCGTCCTGGTGCTGCCGCCCCCTCCCCACACTAGCCGTTTAGGCTCAGGCTTGCACGATGCCGGCGTCGGAGTAGACCGGGAAAGGCGGCTCCCCACAGTGATGGGGAGGGCCACTGCCAATGAATGCAGCTCGCCTGCCGAAGCAGGTCTTGAGCATACTGCTGGTGGGGCTTGTCTACCCCTCATGGTGCGGCCACCTGATGGGCACATGTTCCACCACCACTACCAGATGTAGGAGGATGCGGAGGTCCTCCTCCTCCTCCTCCTCCTCCTGCTCCTCTCGTCCTCCCTCTCCTACCTCTGGCAGTGGTGGTAGGACATCGGCCCGTCACCACCCTCGAGCGCTTGAGGCGAACGGCCGCGAGGAGCGGCACGACGTGGCCGCGCCGCCTCCGCGCGCGGCGGACCCGCGAGCCACGGCAGAGGTCCCCGGCGGCAGCGGAGGCGGCCGCGGCCCGGAGCCGGCCCGTGACGTGCCCGAAGGGGGGGGGCGGGCCGAGGCCGCTCGCGCCGTGAGTGCCCGCTGGCCCCGCCCTGCGCCTCCTCCTCCTCCGCCTCCGCCTGCTCCTCCTCCTCCTCCTCCTCCTCCTTCTCCTCCTCCCCCTCCTCCCTCTCTGCCTCCTTCTCCTTCTTCTCCTCCTCCTCCTCCTCCTCCTCCTCCTCCTCCTCCTCCTCCTCCTCCTCCTCCTCCTCCTCCTCCTCCTCCTCCTCCTCCTCCCGTTCCCGGGCATGTGCACGGCAGCGTATCCAAGGAATTCGTTTTGGCATCCAAAGCCACGTCTGCCAGAACGGCTAAAGGTTTGAATGACCCACTGCCGGACCATATTCGACTCGGGGATGCAGAGGATCGTGCGACCTACGTCCACGAGTTCGCTGTGGCCAGAGAGAGTGTCACTTGCACGGAGCCGTCTTGGTGCGTCCTCGCCAGGTGCAGCGTGTCGGTGGATGTTTGCCCATGCGAGTGTTCATCGACCTCTACTTCGACATCTCCTGCAGTCTCGGAGGAGACACTATCTTCTACAGCGACAGCTTCCACCACGACCGCTTGCGCGGACCTCTTTTTCTGCCATTTGGCCGACTGCAGCCTAGAGGGTTCGATCGATCTCTGCCCCTGTAAGTGCTCTGCTACCACCCTGACCAGGTCATCCACCACGACCAGCAGACGGACGGCCAGCACTACAAGTCGGACGACCACCAGCAAAACCAGCACCGCCAGTGCGACCTCACTCTCCGCGTCTGCGACGAGCACATCGACGTCGACAACGGTCACGTCGACCAGCACCCAGACTGCCAGCACTACGAGTTGGACGAGTACCAGTGCAACCAGCACCACCGCGACCTCGCACACAACGTCTACGACATTCACGTCTGTGTCGACGTCTGAAACGGTGACTAGCACCCAGAGTGCCACCACCACGACTTGGACCAGTATCAGTGACACCAGCACCAGTGCGACCTCATTCTCCACGTCTGCGACCAGCACGTCGATGTCGACCACTACCACTGTGACCAGCACCCAGACTGCCAGCACCACGAGTTGGACCAGCGTCAGTGTAACGATCACGACCAGCAGCGTCAGCATGACTTCGCTCAGCACCTCTGCGACCGCCACGACGACGTCTGCCACAAGGACGAGCAGCCAGACCGCAAGTACCACAAGCCAGACGCGCACAAGTCTATCGAGTACCAGTGTGACCTCGCTTACCACGTCTGCCACCAGCACGCAGTCCGAGGCCCCGGCTCCCGTCGAGCAACTGCAGGGCTTGTCGCGCCTCGTGGCGCTTGTGACGGAGCTGGGGACACCAGCGATGGCCACCCTGGGCGCCTCGATATCCGCAGCGGTGCTCATCTTCGCCGCCGTCACCTGTGCTTGCTGGGCGCGGCGCTGGGGGTTCGCCTGCTCGGCCGTGCGCGCACGACAAAGCTCAGACGGCAGTGTTCCCAAGGCCCCTGGCCTGGTGCACCCTTGCTTGGAGCTGGCGGCGCCGCCGGTCGAGGAGGAGCCACCTGACAAGGTGGAGGAGGAGCCACCTGACAAAGCGGAGCCTCACGTTGTGGCACCGCAGCCGCAAAGCAGCCGCTGCCACTCCGTGATGACACCCCGTTTCGGACCGCCCGAGTCCGACAGCGACCACGAGGCCGAGCCCGAGCCCGAGTCCAACAGCGACGACGAGGCCGAGCCCGAGCCCGGGTCCGAGTCCGACAGCGGCCAGTTCCTCTCGACCCCGAGCCTCGGCAGCGACGGAGAGGGGGAGCAGCTGCGCTGGCCGCCGATGCTGCCCCCGGAGCTGGTCACCAGTCTCTAGCGCAGCGCGGGCCTTCGTGTAGCACCCAGTGGAAGGGCATGATTGGCACATGCGCAACAGTCAGGAGGGGAAAAAAACACAGACAGAATTAGTCGTCGATTCCTCAGAAAATATGGGAAAATATGGGGAGTGGGGGGGAAGACAAACACCCAGAAAATATGTGAAAATATTGAGAATCCTGTTATCTGTGTGTATTTATTCGTGTGTCCTTGGGCCCCTTGAAACAGGCCAGGCGGCGAGATCTACACATGTCCGCTGCTCCCTGGCCGTGCCCATGCCGAAGCCAGGAGCTCTGTAGGCGCCCGCCTGGCCAAGCCAGAGGGGCGTGGCGTACATACGCCGCTGGTGGGTTCAGGATGGGCCTTGCCAGGGAGCCGTGGATACGATGTCTAGATTTCGCCGCCCTGCCATGGGCGCCCATGCAGCGCACGGAGCTCGCGGGTACGCATGCAGCGCACAGGAGCAGCAAGCCAGAGCGCCAATCCTGTGGCGGTCAGTGATTACCAATCGTTGGAGCGACCGCGAATGCGAGCAGCATCGGGGTCTAGCATGATGACATTCTGGCGTGGTGTAGGGTTCGGCCAATCGAAGGAGCAACAGGGATTACACCAACAAGTAGCATGTATCAAGCATGTGATAATAGTAAAGGTCAGCCCTAGAGAGTCGATAGTCCCACTCGAGGAGGAGCAGCGCTGGCATATGCCATCGCGTCGTCGTCAAATGCGCTTGTAGAAAGTAGCGAGTGTTAGAGGATTCCGGTCTGCTTGTCGGAGAAATGACAAAGATCCGGTGTTTGGGTGTCGAAGTCCTGGCATGCGAGTGGACTGCGTGTTGCACCAGTGAGTGGGGAAACCACTGGGTGAAAATTGTGGAAATGACCCCTGCGGCCGTCTAGCCTTGCCTTTTGTGGCTTCTTGCCAGCCTGCTGGGGCCTTCTCGGGCCATCTTGTGGATCTCTTGGGCTGTCTCCGTGCGCTCTTGGGCCGTCTGGTGCCTTCAGGTGACGTCTTTGGTGTCTCTCTGGGCCATCCTGAGGTTCTTTGCGGGCCCTGCAGGGCCGTCTTGGGCCGTCTTGGGGAACTGTTGTGCCGCCTTGGGGAGACCTTGTGGGCCTTTTGAGGGGCCGCGCTGGACGCGCGCGAGACTGGAACAGCTTACGGGGAAAAGCGCAGCGAGTCTTGCTCCTCTGTGCCCCCCTGGGGGCCCTCTAGAAGCCGTCTTGCGGCGTCTTGGGGGCCTTATTAGGCTACCCTGAGTCTCTCTTGGGGCGTCTTGGGGCCACCTGGGGCCATGCATCTTTCATTGGGAACGTTCTGAAAGGGCCCAAGAGAGTTGGGAAGTCTGGCACAACGCCCCCCACACACCTGGAGCTGCCGGCAAATCCAATCCGTTGGTCCAGTCCGTCGGGGCTTGGGTTTTTTCTGGAATCAGTTCGCGCTCTGAGAGCTCTATGGCGTGCTCAAGATACGGTGGCGGATGCTCAACTATGCAAGTCGAACGTGTTAGACGTTCGGCGCAAGCCTCGGTCAACAGCGGGACGGCCCACAACACGGACACCTCCTTACACCACACAATTGTAGTCCATCATCGGTTGTATTCATGCAGCGCGTGATCAGGAAATGATCGTGGTGCTTTAGTTATGTTTGTGACTGCCGGGTGACAACAGGCCCATGATCGATCACGAATCGGTCCTTTTTTGATCCATTGAACTCTGCTTTGCCAAAGGACTATCGCCCTTGTGGTCCGGGGTATGTCAGCGCACGCGCGCATTGCACAACACTAATACCACGCGCACTCCAACACAATAACGCATCCACATCACAAGCAGTGCACATTACAACCACTGTTGCCAGATTATTGTAACATCGCTTCAGAAGGCCTACGCCATCCCGCCGATCCCCAGAAGAGGATATGTGCGTCTTCTGGTATTGCATCCGTTGTTCACCGCCCACCAAACCACCCCAGCCCAACCCGAAGGCCCCGATGAGCCCTCCATTTCCAGTGGGGGGGTGTCGGGGATAATTGAAAAAAACACATATGAAGCCCGTACCCCCGCCCAACCCGAAATTCAGGTCTTCGGGTTGGGTTGGGGTGGTCTGGTAGGTAGTCAGTTGTTCGCCGCTTCTCCTCGTGCTGCCTGCGCGCAGCTTCCGCCGAGTCGGGCTCTCCTTCTCCCCCGTGTCTGCTGTGGGACTTCTCTTGGGGCTTCCCGATGCCTCCCGATGCCCGCACGGGTGGCCTCTTGGAGCCCTGCAGGACTCCTGCATAAATGGGGGCTTTGGGGGCCTTCTCTTGGGCCTCTTAGGGGGCATGTCAGGGTTCTTGGGGATCATCCTGTACGGGAGGGCCCCAGGGGTCCCTGTGATTTCCCCTTTGAGTGTCTTTCTTTCGAACAAGAAAAAACGCCGTAAACCTAAACTTTTGGTGCTCCGCGCGGATTTCTTGGATCCGCGCTGGGCCCCCCTGGCGGCGCCTCCGGCGCCGCCCCTGGCGCACTCCGCAAGCCAGGGAGGGGTGTCCAGCGCAGCCGATCCAAGAAATCCGCGCGGAGCGCCAACAGTTTATGTTTATAGCGATTTGTCTTCTTCTATTATTGGGGTCTTCTTGAGGGCCTTTGGCGACTTGGTGGCCTCTTGAGCCGCCTCCTGCGCCCTCTTTTGGGCCGCTCGGACCGTCTTTGGCCAGTCCGGGCGGCATGCGGGAGCCCGACCAAGCTTGAACCCGCAAATAGTCCAAACACACAAACACACACACACACATATATATATATATATAGGACATCAATTCCCCCCCCTCCTCCTCCTCCTCTTCCTCCTCCTGCTTCTCCTCCTCCTCCTCCTTCTCCTCCTCCTCTTCTTCTTGTTTACAGTATTGTATTACGTTGTGTTCGATGCATTAGCGTGGCCGCTTAGGCCAGCTGTACGGGAACAACACAACTGTTGTTCATAACCTCAGAGGGTTGCCAAGAGCTGCATTTACCTGTCGTCCGGCCGGCGAGCCGGGGGCGCCAAGACCTAATGAGAAAATAGGTTATCATTATGTTTCGTTTATTGAGTCGTCCTTTGAGACTCCCTTGGGGCGTCTTGGGCCGTCTCCGGGGCATCCCGGGTGTTCTCGACACCTTTTTCGGTGTGCTGGAGCTCTTCTGGAGCCGTCGTAGAGGGCGGCATTTGGGGCATCTTCGCGGCCACGGAGGGTGGATTTGGATATTCCGAGGGCCGCAGACTTGCGTTGACGAGCTCGTGCGTACCCCCGGCCACCCGCCCCCCCCCCCCTGGTAACAGGGTTCGTGGCCGGGGAAGGGGGGTCAGGGAGAGGGGGACAGCCAGATGTCTCACACTGCTTTTTGCAATAACGGTTCATGTGCCGCCCAGATTCGTATATTGCAAGAGGTTGCACGGCCATGTCGAGCACACGTTACAATTCAATCGGCTTCCTCCTCATCATTATCATTCCTTTTTCCCCGCCAGCGTGGTCTTATCAGCATCCTTTCGGTGCAAGGCTCGGGGGTCCCTCCT